AGACTAACCTCTCACCTCAGACAAGGCTTTGTCACACTGAAAGCAGACATGGTGAGGTGTCAGACAGGCTGCTCATCCTGAAGTCACAGCTCCTGGTATTTCACCCAGCGTGAAAGTTGTGGCTTCGAATCCCGCTCCAGGGAATGGACTACAGATTCTTGGCCGGTGCTGAAGAAGAACCACGCTGCCTGAGATGCCCCCAATTCCCACCCCTGCCCCCTTCCTTTGAATAAGTCATTAAAACGAAAGCCTATCCTCCCCTTTCTCAGCTGGACATCTCATCTTTCTTGAAAGTTGAACAAGAACAGAAGAATTGCCCCACTTGTTAAGGGCCATTGGGTTCTGTGCTGAGTTTAGATGGCTATCATCTAAGATTGGGCGTAATCCACCAATTTCTAGCCTAAGCCCAGAGCCACATCAAAGGCTTGCTCACTGTGATAAGGATGTATCAGGAGTTAACCCACTCAGTGGGCCCCTTCATGACCATGAGCCTTTGCGCTGGGGGCATTGCATGCTGGGATGATTGATCACACCCCACCCCCAACACAGCATATTTGTTGACCTTTAGAGAAGACAAGGGTGAGAGCAAGTGGTGCTGGCTGGTGCTGGAGGGAACAAGGGGCAGAGGGAAGTCATGTTCCTCAGGCTGCAATGTCAGGATGAGGCCTAACGACAAATACTACCCAGCAGAATCCTGCACTGTTTTAACAATCTATCAATGTGTTTCCGACATCCTGTTGGAGCGGCTCTTTATGAGTCAGACACAAGTGATGCACTTCCACAGAAGTCTTGGCCTGGCACTAACAATCCGTTATAGGTGTTTTTTTTTAACTTGTTACTTCGTCAAAAAAGCACCATTAGTTTCTACTTTAGCGATTAATCCAGAGTCTCTGATATCTATTGAATGTGGCCTTTATTGTATCTCCACCTAACCGTGTGAAACGACTGTACGTAGATAACCACTCAATTCCATTCCATTCAATCTGCACAGATTTCTGTTCTTTGCCTTTTGACAAAGACTCTTGGTTACGACCAGTTTGTTGCCATGAAATCTCTCAGGACCCTGAGGGCACTGAGGCCGCTTCGAGCCTTGTCCAGATTTGAAGGCATGAGGGTAAGGGCAACTGTATACGTAGCTCTATGACCATCTTAATAACATTGCCTGTGTAAGTACTAACAATTGATGGGAGGTACAGAAACTTTTACGTCTGCATTAACTGGGTCTTTCTTTCCTTTGTACAGTTTTTGAGCGGGTGTTTCCTCTCAGAAATATTGCTTCAAACCTGCCTAAAGCCAAGCCGAGTCTGAGCTTCAGTCTGATACATGTTGTACTGTAAATATAAAAGACCTGGAAGATCTTTCATAAGCCTGCACTAAATTAGACCTGACATTACCACGCAATGTGGGCAGGTCTGTTGTTTGCACTTTCCAACAATCTCAAGAGGCTGCAGAAGAGCGTTAGTATCCATTCCGCGGATTTACGGCTTGCAGTATGTTGACACAGCTCGGTTTGATTTAGATCTCGGATTGCCTGAAGGATTTTCAAGATAAATCCACTTGTCCCTGATTGCAATGAGCTTCTATGATGACATTTCACTCCCACCTCTTCCTGAACCATCTTAGCCACAACAGACTAGATTTTACATTGTTGCCCACCTAAAGGTTTGAAGATGGGAGCAGTGCTGATAAAATACAGCGGGGGTGTTTGGGAGATTTCTGATTGTCAGCCTGTCCCGTCTCCAACCTAGAATGATAGACTTTTACAGTACCAAAGGAGGCCATTTGATCCATCATATCGTGCTGACCCCTGACAGAACTACCCAACTAGTTCCATCCTCCAGCCTTAACTCCATAGCCCTCTAAATTCATCACTTTCAAATATATAACCAGATGCTATAGAAACCATCTTCTTCACTCTCTCAGGCAGTGTATTCCAAATCCTAACAATTCTCTGAGTAAAGAAGTTTCTCCTCATCTGACTCCTAGCCCTCTGATGGCCAATCTTGAAATTGTGACCCCGAGTTGGAGATTTTGCCGGGAGTGGGGGGAGGGGAGTCGGTTGGACATCCTGCCCGTTGCTAAAGTGGTTATTTATGAGCATCTCATTAAGCACATAGGAACAGGGGTAGGCCATTCAGCCCCTCCAAGCCTGTTCTGCCATTCAATGAGAACCACGGCTGATCTGTGTCCTTAACTCCATATACCTGTCTTTGGCCCATATCCCTTGATAACTTTACTTAACAACCATTTATCTACATCAGACTTAAAGCTGACAACCGGTATTGTTCCCAAAGTGGGGACGGACCATGCTGTAAGGGCAGCCCAACATGGGCTAGTGTTGGAGGAATAGGACACCTCATTCAGGAGCCTTCAGGGCCCACAGAACCATTCATGCCCACACCAACCCTACCCCTACCCCCCACCCTACCACCAACCAGGTAATTGTCCCACACCCTTAATCTTCCCCTCTACCTCTTGAATTTTACCCCCACTCGTGACTCCTGACACTGGACATACCTCGGCAGTTTGAGGAGCCGGTGACCCTCCAGGCTGGGGCTAGGGAGGTGACACATCTCCCGAACTTCTCAAAGCGACTTTGCCGAAGGCCATGATTCCAGCAACGCCTGCCTGACCTTAGAGCAGTCAGTGCCGCTCCCTCAGTTAACTCGGGCAGCTTCAGTCCCATCACAACATTTCAGACGAGGCTGGGCACCATGGCACCTCATAAAGTCCAGCCCAAGGCATGTGGAAGTGCCCGTCACTCCTGCCCTGTTCGGCTGTTGAACTATTTCCATTCACTGGAATGGCTGAGGGGTTGGGAGGCAGTAAGGAGCAATCCATGCTCACCTACGAAGAGACTATTTAGTTGCTGTTGACTTACTAACCACCTGATACTGAGAACAGCACAGTCCCTGAGCCAGGGCTATTGTCTGACTCACCCATTTTACAAAGGCAGTCCCACATCAAAGAGGGGTGAGACCACAGAACAGCTGGAACCATTAATGGCAAGTTATTTCAAGAAAACCCAGATTCTCAGACATTTCGCTGCCATGTCCCTACTTTAATGTTTCACACTTGAACCAAGAATGAAAATTGGGGTGAGTGGGTTGGCTGAGGGGCTAGTGGTCTGGGGGCAGGGATACAGGCACAAAAGAAATCTAAGGCCCTAATCACCCTGCATCTCTGTCGATCTCAGGGTTCCTCCGATTCGTTCAGATCGGTAGGCTAAAATAATATTGTGAATGTTTAAGGGGAGTTTGCAGCCAATCGCAGGGACTGTTAGATCTGAGTCTCCACTGCACAGGTGCCTCAGAGTTCACAACCTTAAGTGGTCGTCCCTTGGCATCACCAGAACGGTGAATGGGGGCTGGGGGGAAGGGGTGGGCTCCCAAATGCTTGGGTTTCCAACAACCCTCCCCCCCTCCACTAACCTACAGCTTAATCTAGAACATCACCACTGCTGATTCTCCAATTCTTCACAAGATCTGAGATGGAGGCAGTTTGGTCCATTACGTCAGCTCTTAGCTAGGGCTGTCCATGAGACGTAGGAGCAGAAGTAGGCCATTCAGCCCATCGAGTCTGTTCCACCATTCAACAAGGTCATGGCTGATCTGATAATCCTTAGCTCCACTTTTCTTTCTGCTATGCCCCACACCACACCTCTTTCTACACAGCCTTGGAAATGGAATCCTTTCCCAATGGATACCAGCCCTGTTTTTTTTATTCATTCATGAGATGTGGGCATCACCGTCCAGCATTTATTGCCCATTCCCAATTGCCCAGAGGGGCAGTTATGAGCCACCTGGGTCTGGAGTCACACATACCTGGTAAGGATGGCAGTTTCCTTCCCTAAAGGACATTAGTGAACCAATTGACATCATTAGACTCTTAAAATCCCTTTTTTATTAAAGTTAAATTCAAATGGCATACCAGGGGAGGCAATGGCCTAGCAGCATTATCGCTGGACTGTTAATCCAGAGACCCAGATAATGCTCTGGGCACCTGGGTTCGAATGTCGCCACGGCAGATGGTGGAATTTGAATTCAATAAATATCTGGAATTAGGAATCTAATGATGGCCGTCAATCCATTGTTGATTGTCAGAAAAAACCATCTGGCTCACTGGTGTCCTTTGGGGAAGGAAACTGCCATCCTTACCTGGTCTGGCCTACATGTGACTCCAGACCCACAGCAATGTGATTGACTCTTAACTGCCCTCTGGGCAATTAGGGATGGACAATAAATGCTGCCTAGCCAGCGACGCCTTCATCCCGTGAATGAATAAAGGATTTGAACCTGAGGCATTAGGACATTACCCTGAATTAAGGCACTTCCACATCAAAGAGAGGGGACACCACGGATCAGGTGGGAATATTAATGGCAGGTTACTTCGATAAAACCCAGAATAAAGCTTCTCAGATATTTCATTGCTGTGTCCCTACTTTAATGTTTCCCCACCTATACTGACAATAATACCACAAAGCCATCATCTCCCATTGAAGGCTGCCTACTGAATTTGTCTCCAATGCCCTTTCAGTCAGCGCAGTCCAGATTGTAAATACGTTTTTAAAAAAGCCTCATCTTCCCCCCCCTGCTTCTTTTACCAATTGTCGTAAATCCATGCCCTGTGCCCTTTATGAGTTGAACCTCACTGTCGATGGAAATATTTTCTTCCTGTTAGAGAGGGTCTGCTAAATTGCTCCTGCTCAGAGGGAACAACATGTAGAAGCTATATCTCAGACTCTGCTGGTGTCTACGCTAAAACAACGCTTTCTTTCTGTGGGCAGCCAACACAACTGACCAGCAATTGTAAAGAAAAAACTTGATGCTTTTCTTCCAGCAGGTACCAATCTACATTGCTTTACAGGTGAACCATCCCAAGAGAAAGACACTGCTGTTCAGGCACCTCACCCCATCCTCCCCACTGCTGGGGGTCCTAGCAGAGTGATAGGATGTTTGATAATGGAATGGATTCTCGTCTTTTCTTGTGTTTCTATGTAGGTCTCTGTAGTCAGCCTAACGGCTAATGCCCTGGGATACGCTGAACTAGCTCCCATAAAATCTCTTCGGACACTCAGAGCTTTGAGACCATTAAGAGCCTTGTCACGATTTGAAGGGATGAGGGTAAGACGGAGAGAAAGAAGGCCTGTTCCCATGTGATTAAAGCATGGCGGGTAAAAACCGTACCCCTACGCATCATTCCCCATCCGACAAAATGGATACAATTGCATGTCAAGTAGTGTAACCCATCGCAGGTCGGGTTTTAGAATTAGGGTTAGGTTTATTGTCACGTGTACTTCAGTCACAAAAGAACAGGAGTACAGTGAAAAGTGCACAATGTCGCAAACACACGACGCCATCTTAGGTGCAAAGTACTCTAGGTACAAATTTTAGAAACAAAAAATAGAAGAAATAAAGTGAAAATGTTACACTACATTACGTGTATATATGGTATAAGTTAGGAAAATAAGACATAAAGCTAATAAGACCGAGATTACAGTCTTTCAATAAGGGCTTCCACATGGTTTTACTGGGCTCCATTGGTTCCCAACCACTCCACTCCGGGCCCCTGTCCCCGCTCCGGTCCGGGCCCCTGTCCCTACTCCACCCTGGCCCCCTGTCCCCACTCCACTCCGGGCCCCTGTCCCCACTCCGCTCCGGGCCCCTGTCCCCACTCCACTCCGGGCCCCTTTCCCCACTCCGCTCCGGGCCCCTGTCCCCACTCCACTCCGGGCCCCT